GCTATAATGAATGCAAAATTTGGCCAGACGAAACAATCTTTTATCCACTTACGTGACGGATCCGAAAGCGGAAATACGCAACCCCGGAGGCACCCTATTTGATCTTAATTGGGTATTATGATTGATGGAGCGCATAAATATATCCATATATGCATATAGTTATTTTTGCGTGTATACCGGTTTTGTGTATACGCAGTCACATAGCTTTGTGTTTATTCTATATGCAAGCTAGTATGCTTGGAAGTGTGCAGAGGTGCACGCATGTAGAATGAGCGTGAGAGTATGAGTATGCAGACAAGGGAGTTGGAGGCGTGGGGCTTGAATCCAATTTGGGGAGGTTATAGTCATGGCTATGGGGGTGACAAGGGAGACACGGCGCCGAGGCGAAATGGTTGCTGGGACAAAAAGTAAAAGCTAACTAGCAATATTAGTGTAAATAGAGGGGGCAACTATATTGGATTGATGACCTATATAGGATTTGGCTGTGTATAAGTGCAGATTATAGCAGTGAAATATTGGTATTACTATTTTATATTCGTATTAGAGTAGGGATTCGAGACTATCAGTAAATTTTATCTGTTTACAGATTATAAAACCATGCTTCAATATACTTGTCTAATAAAGCGGTCCGTCCGTTATAGATCATCTGGTATGAGAAATTGATGCCAAATATATTTTTGACAGGAAATGGCTTGGATTAAGTGTTCAAATAATCGGGGTATACTTCAAGCCTTGTGTATGTACCTCCGAGAGACAAGGACCTAAAATACATTCATTTAGAATTGTCCAAGATATTCTTATCGCGAAAGCATGTATCGAAAAAGGCCTCAGCACCATAAATAGGAAGGCTCATCCGTACGTTGGCAAGATATACAATTATTGGTAAAGTCGTGAGTTTCGTGAATATGTAAATAGGACAATGATGAAGCCGTCGATCCATTCAGACTCCAGGCGGCCGGCGGTGCTGACTTTTGGTGAATAATGAGAAGTTTCGCGCCCGTTGGCAGGCCGGCAGGCCGGCAGGCCTAAACACGTGCATATTATGCGCCATGACCGATTGCTGCGTGTATCTGTGCCCATCATTTGGTCTCACGGCCCGGGGGCCTGACCTCCCGTAGGCACTTCGTGTCCCGCTGTGAGCTCGGACTCGTCTTCATTGTCACTGTCAGCGTCCCTTACTCTGAGGGTGGCTGGTTCGAATCCCTCGAGGCGAACCTCCCCAACTTCCATTCCACGTCAGTCCGCTTATTGTGCTCCATTTATATCCTCCGAAAGGAGTGCTTTCGGCAGTTGCTGCAACCGCTTCTGACCTTATGATTGCTCGGAAACCTATCCTGAAATT